TTTCATAAAAAATATAAATTACATAGTTAGTCTTGAATATATCTCCAAATAGTCTTCACAGGTCAACCAAGGTTGAATATATCTCCACAGGTCAACCTAGACTCGACCTGACCCTTTGCCACTCCTAGGACTGAGTATTGTTGGTAGTTAGTAACATATCTTTTGTATCTCAAAATCTGTTATTTCTATCGATATAATAGATTTCAGTTTGCCGAGGATATAGCCCTTTAGGGTGAACCACATAAATCCTCGTATTTTTGTGGTATATGTGTTTTCACGTTGTATTTCTAACTCTCATATTATGGTTCATGCTTTTTCTGATGTTGTTTCTAGCCAGTCAAGTGTACGATTCTCGTAGAATCCAACTTTTGGAGTTCCTATTTCCACATCTAAGAGGGTTCTTAGGATTTGTTTGATAGCACCCTAATATATGATAACAGGAAATCTACTATAATTTTAATTTTATGAGCTCTGTTTGATAGATAACCTCCAAATATTTGAATCAAGATTTTGAGGGATTCAATTTCTCTGTAAAAAGTTCATGTCTCTCACCCTCACTCCTCCACTAATCTCCCTTTTTTATCTCTAAGCGAAGAACCTCTCTCTTTGTGCTATCCCCACATCCAATACATAAGAGAAGAATCAATACCACCAAATAAAGTGGCAGATCGAAAAAAAACTAACAAAAATATGATGATCTTTTGATTCTTCTCTTCATCGAGAGTAAACTTTATCAAGAAAAAAAGAAAACAATGTAGAGAAAAAAAAAAGACTTCATTAACACCATAGATCTCTTCCTCATGACAACACCCTTGGTCCCATGCCACAAAGACCTCAACTTGGCTCTGCAACTCACTCCACCTATAACTAGGTTGCTTTCTCACTCTAGCTTTTTCTATATCTATATCATTTCTCACTTTAACTGTGTCAGACCGCCTCCTTGAATATGTGTAGAAATTAAAGAGCAAAATATGGGGGGGGTTGAACTCTTTAGTTCGAGTTTTAACAGTTCCCGTGACGCCAATTCAACTAATTTGAGCAGAGCTCCCAAAACTGTTCTATCCAACTCCATCGGCATGGTCTGGATCATGGGCATAGCTTCCTGTAATTTTCAACCATATAAGGAAAGTTCTTAACCTTAGGATCATTTCCATGCTCTCTGATTATGGAATCAAAGAATTCACAAGCTTGGTCTGCTAAGCCCCACCCAAGTTACAGGTTATTTGGTTTGATTTCTTCTTCTCTTTGCTGAAACCTTTGATCGCTGAGCAATATGTATTCTTGTTTATTAATTTGATTATTTGTTCGTTCACCTTTGCTTCAATCGATAGGAATTAGTCTTCTTCGTTTGGCTTATTTTGTTTTAGTTTGGATCACAAGATAGAACTAAAAGAGGCACTATAGTGTGCTCCTGTGGGACCATATACTTTACATTAATACTCTGGAGTAAAAGAGCTACTTGGGACATATTTTTTTGATATGAACCACCTAAGAATCATCAGATAGTTATTTCAAATTGGAATTAGAATTTTGAGTTCTTCAACATCTAGATCTTACCCTCTAAAAATATTATAGTTTGTATTCAATATTTGGGCATTATTTTTTTTCAAATATGCAATTCGATCACAAGCTTAAAGAGATTACATCCCAAAATCTGGGGTCCTAAAAATACTCCAAGTTATGGTTTCACCGAACAGAGCAATTGACCAATATGATCTCACGTGAGCATCAAATGTTTTCACAAAACTTTAAATCAGTGCTTACTTTGTGGAAATTAAGAAGTTGGTGTTAGTCTAAGTATATATGTATTTTATTCTCCAATTCGATGCATTTATTTTAGAGAAAATATTAGTTAAAGGCTTAAATTATCTTTTTAAAAACCATTAAGGATGCATTTAGGATTCTAAAATAAATCCCAAATTTAAAAGAATATATATAGTTTGCTTCTAGGAGCAAGTGCACAAAGGATACATGAAGGAGCACAAAGCAAGAAGTTCGCTAAGTATTCATTTAACATGCTAATCACGTGGCTCACTAAATGCCACGACCCCTTTTCTGTTTTTTAAAACTTTCCAATGAATTATGCTCCTTAAAGTGCACAACGTAAACTCACTCTCTCAAACAAAATAATTTTTTGAGAAATTATTGTTAATATGCTTTAATTTTAAAAAAAATCATAAAAACTCTCCAATTTTTCAAAATCTCGCCCACATGGTTTTTTTCAATTTTTAATATTTTTTGGATGAAAATACCCTTTACGGTAGAAAGACTATCATAATAGCATAAATATACGTTACGGTACTCGACCATTACAGTAATTTAAATACCGTAAAGAACATTATGGTACTTTAATTACCGTAATATATAAATATATGAGTCACGACATTCTTGTAATACTTTGAAAAGCTTCAAACTGAAGTTAATATCAAAACTACCTCTCTCCTCCCGCACTATGCAAAAATAACGTAATTGATAGTTGGAAATTGACTATTTTGGATTCAGTTTATGGTCTCGAAGTGATTGAAGTAACAATGGCGCTGGTTTTGTTGTAATTCCATTGCTTTTCTGATTTTTAGGTTTTCGAAAGATGCATGCAGTTGGGCAGTTATATTTCAAGAGGAGTTGACACAATCGCAGGCCGTTTCCCTCTATTTGGCGGGGAGTTTACACAATCGCAGGCCGTTTCCCTCTATTTGGCGGTGCAGTAGATATCAACGTTGTTGAACAATAAGATGGGAGTTTCAAGGCCTCACCTTGGTATGTGAAGTTTGGCGAGTTTCAAGGAGTGCTGTAGGAGTGGAACTGTTCTACCAAGAAGAAGATGTTAACCAGGAAGCGCTAGTGAAGGATTAAAAAAAAGTGTTATATATTCCGGAAGGTTGCTTATCAATCTAAATTTATAGAAAGCTTCGAAATGAGTGATGGAACTACATATGTTTCTAACCATGAAGAAATTCCTTGGCTCTTGGTGTTGGAGAGTTGCGAATCATTGGAAATTGAAAAACCTTTCAGACAAAGCAGTGGAGCTTTTCTACATGGAAGAAGAGTCGAACACAAAAAAGCTCAAGAAGGATTCAGAAAGAGGGGTCGCTGATCCGGAATTGGCTTCTCAATCAAAAGTAATCGAGAGTTGTGAATTAAGGGGTGCAGACTCTCATATTTCTACTCATAAAGAACTTTCAAAATTGTTGGTTTTGGAAAGTTACGGTAATTACGGTAGTACATAATTAAAGTATTACAGTGCTAAAAATACCATAAATAATATATTTATGATTTATGATAAGTAGAGTAACGTAATGTTTTTTACGATATTTAAATTACCGTAATGTTCATTACTGTACTTCGAGTAACGTAATATTCATTACGGTATTTTGAATACCGTAATGTATCTTCACACTATTACGGTAGCCTTTTTACTGTAATACATTCAAAATATATTACGGTAGAAAGACTACCGTAAAGGGTTTCTTCCTCCAAAAAATCTCAAAATTTGGGAAAAAGGGTTCGAACAAGGTTTTGAGAAGTTGGGTTTTTTTTTTTTGAGATTTTTTTAAAATTAAGGTATATTAGCGATAATTTCCCTAATTTTTTCTTAAAATTTTGGAATTGATTTTTAATTCCAAATGATTATTTTTTAAAGGGTGCAGTTGGCATACAGGTGCATACGTAGGTGTAGAGGTAAAGTCCACATTCAAATTTTATCATGGTATATAATTTTGATGTAAAATGTTATTAGGATTATTTCAAAATCTATTTTTATATCTAATTATAAAATTTTAAATTTCAAAAATGGTTAAAATCAAGTAGATCTATAAACATATCAAAATCTTGAAAATGGACGATATAGATAACATGTTGTAACATGCACCATTTCTGAGATTTAAAATCTTTTTATTTTTCATAGTCGTACATCTCGATGTCGAGATGATCAATCAAAGTGTTTTTCAACATTAAAACTATCTTTTCCAATAGATTTTTGAGGGGTAACCATAGTTCTACATTATAAGGCAGCAACCTTTCATAAACTTTTTCCTTTTTTAAAACATAAATTCGTTATTGTAGGAGTAAAGTTTATAATGTGCTAGCTAGACAAGAAAAAGTTTACAATGTGCTCCCTGCACCCTTTTGGAAGGGCTTTAGATTTGTGATTTGTATGGAATGAAACTCTTTTTGTCTTTTTTTTTTTTTGTTGACCAAGTGGGGGTTGGGGGAAGCCCGGGCTCTTTTCCTACATGGCATAGAACTTCAACAACTCTTTTAACCAAAGCAAACACATATTAATCGGTAAAATAATAATAATAATAATAATAATAAAATAAAACAAAAAAAGAAAGAAGACGAAGAAAAATACAAGATTTGGACCAAGTGTTTGACCAAATTTAAGTCAAGAAATTGAAGTTTGGAATTGAAAACAGGTAAAAAAAAAAAAACACAGTACTGAATTTGGATGGCAAACTAGGTCGAAAAAGAAATAACTCAGAACTTGGACAGCGTTTCGGAAAATATAAAAAAAATGAAATCGAAATATGCCGAAAACATAACATATATAAGATTCTTTTCAATGGGATTTGTTGGGTAATTCTTTTTTTCTAATATACTACATTTTAGAACTTTTTTTATATTTTTTAAAACTATTTATAATTTTTGATATTTTTAAAATCTAGCCAAATAATTCAACCGGTTCAACTTATTTTTACTAAATTAGACCTGTCACCAGTTAAGTGGTCAATCCGATCTTGATATCCCTAACGTTGGTTTGTACATCGGAGAGCATTAGATTTGAGAAATAAGTGGTCACCATTCTCATCACCGTCCAATTATTGAGTGGATAGCGAGTGGGCCAATCGGAACACTAATGACCCTCTTTTTCAACTCTCCAGCCGTTTATTGGATGGTGATAAAGCATGAACATAAAATTTTATGGTCATGTGAGCATATTATACTGGTACTCCTATGTTTTATAGGAGAGGGTTGTTTTGTCAATTTCTCGACCTATATGATTCTTCGTCTCAGAAGGGTTCTTCTTAGAGAGAGAGAGAGGGTTTTAGCGTTTCAGGCTGCTTCAATGGCGGCCAACTCCAAAAGAATTGCAAACAAATATCAAAACAAAACCCCGAAAACCCTAAAATCAAACCCCAAAAACTTCAAGAGAAGTAAGAAGAATCCCTCTGTGCAGAAACCAAAATCTTTTCCTCTCTCTAAACCTTTCACCATAAAAGAAGATGTAGAGAGAGAAAAAGAAGCTAGTGAAGACGAACAAGAAGAAGAGAGAGAGGAAGAGGCATCTCAGTCTGATGTTTCTTCAGATGGCGACCCCTTCACCGATGATTTCCTTCAAAGCGACAGTGAAAGTGGTGAAGGTACGTCCCTGAAAAAGCCTTTTTCTTTTTTACTGGTATTAATATTGTGTGTCTATCTCTTTTAGAAAGGTAATTACTGGTTTAATGATTTTTATGCGTATTTGTTGAGTTTACAGAGAAGGATTCGGATGAGTCTGATATCGAGGAAAAGTCTCGTATTTTGGATGAAGAGAGAGAAAGAGAAGTGGAGGATGCAGAGGCTGAGTTACAACTTAACATTCAAGAAGAAGCTGATGATTTTAGACTACCAACAAAGGAGGCAAGCGCTCATTCTTCTCTTTCTTCAACATTCTTATTCATGTTCCATCATTTTGTGACTTGACTAAAATAATAATGAAAAACAATCATTTTAATTTGTAAAAAGTGAAAGTTTTCTTGCCCATTTGAGCTTGTCCTCGGTTTGCTTATTCATAAATAGTAAGAAAATGAGAAATATGCTTAACTGTGAGTTGATTCCTGCTCTCGATGACCTGTATCTGAACTAGAGATTTTTTTAAAATTCGAGTTTCTTTTCAATCAGTGAGTTGCTAGAATTAATTAATTAATTATTTTTTTTTTTTTTGGCCTCCTTCAAATTCAATTTTGTTGGTATTATAGTGGTCCATTCATCAGTGTGATAAATAGAAAGGTATTGAGTTGGAAAAAGAACGAGCTAATTGACAGTATTGTGACTCTGAATTGAATTATTTCATTGTAGATATTTCAAAATTTTCACTGCATTTTTGTGAGTTAGTTGTTAGTTTTACTTTATTTTTGGGAATTTATAAGTTTTGTTTACTGGAATGGAAGAGCCTTATTCATTGTTATACCTTTGAATTAAAAGATCCGTTTTTGGCTTCCATAGGAGCTTGAAGAAGATTTTCAACGCCCAACTGATCTTCCAAATCTTCAGAGGAGGATAAAAGAGAGTAATGAGCATCTCCTCTTCCACTGCTATCTCTATTTTCTTTCTTCTTGATGGGTAACCATTCTGTTCTACTGATATCATATCAACTTTTTCTCTAATTTTGAGTTATTTATTTTGTTGGGTTGCAGTTGTTCGTGTCCTTTCTAATTTCAATTCTCTGAGACAAGAGGGAGCTGTAAGGAAAGACTACGTTGAGCAGCTCAAGGGGGATTTGGCTTTGTACTATGGATACAATGAATATCTAATTGGAATTCTTGTTGAGGTTATTCTCCATCCCTTTATTTTGTTTCAAAGTACCATGCTCTATAAATCTAGACCCCTGATTTTTTTGTTACGTTTTCTTTATAGTTCCAATGTGGGCCTTATTTTTAATGTTGGGTACTTGCTGCTTTTATTCAGATGTTCCCTGTTGTAGAGCTTGTTGAGCTTATTGAAGCATTCGAAAAACCTCGCCCTGTGAGTTTGCGGACAAACACATTAAAGGTAATAGAGTTTAAATGAAAGGGGTGAAAGTTTTATTGTATTATTTGTGTTAAGTTTACCTCCAGCTGATAGATTGGCTGTTTTCTATAGGTTTTCTAGATGCCATGTATCTGAGTACTGCTATGGACGCCTTCTTCATATACACTAATGCTTTGCCAAGATTTAGAACCTAGAATGTTTGAAAATCTATGTAGATTGTTTATATGTGTACACCGTATCTGTTGGATTGCCATAACTGTCGGTTGTATATTAATAGTCTATTTAGTTATGTGGATAGCATTCTTCGCATGTTGGCAATTTTTTTTTTTTTTTGAAGCTTATGTTGACAATGTCGTACTGAAATATAGAACTTGTACTGAAATTGTACTGAAATATAGAACTTGAGTATTTTGTGATTTAACATGCAGTTGTATTAGATTCTAAGCACATGCATACATACATATATACATTTTTTATGCTTCTATCGAATTAATTTCTGATTTATGGCTATCTCAACTACAGATTAGTGGATACTGTGTGCGCCCACATGTGTTTGTCTGCTGGTTTCCACTAATTTACCTTTTCTTCTACATGCATAGACTCGCAGGAGGGATCTGGCTGGTGTCCTGATTAACAGAGGTGTGAACCTAGATCCACTGAGCAAGTGGTCCAAGGTGACAATACTTAAATTTTTGGTCACAGAAAATACTTCAAATGATTTATTGGATTCGATAGTTTTATGTAACTGTATAAGTAGTACTTCTCTGAATGTTTTAGTTTATTGCAGGTTGGATTAGTTGTGTATGATTCACAAGTGCCTATAGGTGCTACCCCAGAATATATGGCTGGACACTACATGGTATCTTTCATTTTTTATTTGTGATATGTTAAATTGGCATTTTGTGTTTCTTGTCTAAAATTTTACATTTGTCTGCAGCTGCAAAGTGCTAGCTCCTTTTTACCTGTAATGGCCCTTGCACCTCAGGAAAGGGAACGGGTTGTGGATATGGCGTAAGTTTTCATGCTTTTGTTTGCTATGAGTGGATTGAATTTACACGGGGGTTTATTGATGTTCTATATCTTTATCAATGTGTGATTTAGGTTTGATGTTAGTGGTTTATGTCTTCCATTCACTTAGATGAATGCACGTATGCATTAGTAATGTTGAACAACAGCAATTAGTAGTAATGTCAATGAGCATTGATCAAGACTATCATAAAAAAAAGGGGAAAAGGGCACCCTTAATGGATAATGAAGAATTAGTTGGATATGTTTGAGGCTTCTCTAAATGGTTCAAGTGCAAACAATCGATTTCTTCCTGAACACGCTTTCTAAGAAGATTGTCCTGCCTCTTTAACTACAATAAGGAATGAGTCTTCGTCTTTGAATTGCAATTATGTGATCCCTTGTATTAATATCAATTTTCTAAAACCCAGCGATTCTCGATTTGGATTGTCGATCCAGGTTGGGAATTGGCCAGGTTTGATCATGTTCAAGGATAGTATTGCTCCAGGGCCGGTTCCCCCATCCCCCCCCCCCTAAAAAGCCCCTTTCATTTTTTTTTATAAGCCTATCTAATGTTTTGTTAGACCCTCCCTAAACCCCCACCAGATAAACCGTATATTAATTTTTATTTATTTTTTAATATTTTTCTGGATTTGGATCTATCTGGATTTTGATCCAATGAACACGGATCTGTGAGGTGAATGATGCACCCCACCAATCTAGGTTTTGAAACACTGATATTAATATTCAATATTACTAGCCAAGTAGAACACTGACTACTTTAGGTTTGACAACTTACCTTTCTAAATGGTTCCTGTGTGTGGCATCCCCGGCTACAAAAGAGTTCATCGTGGAAATATTTGTGTCTTTTGATCACCTTTATAGCATCATGAGGATGAAAATATGATACATAGGAGGTTACCCATGTTGCTTTGAATAAGATGATTTCAACTTATAAGGAAGTATACTGCCTTTCTTACTAGGTAGTTTATCACTCATTATTTCTCCTTTTAGGACCCAAAGTTGCTCCATAGAAGTTCCCATACAGATTATGTTCAAGTAGGCATATGGAAAATATAAAACTGCACTTGTACAACCCCAGCAATATCTAAGAAAACTTAATCCTTTTGTTGAAGGATAGGTTAGCTTGTTTGTGCTTTTTCTGGAAAATTCTTCAGGGGTTCGAACCCTTGATCTCCCTCACGCAAACTGAGATTTCCACTACTGAGCTGAAACCTGAATGGCAACTTCAGTCCTTCATCAATATAACCCATCAACTTTCATCTCTTTGAATGCCTCTTTGGAACACCTGAACACAAACTTGGGGTTCAATTCTTACTCAATTTTTGCTTCACCAATTGTGATGGGATCATTCTCAAGCTGCAGATGGGCTACATATCAAATTTTTTCTTTGTTGAACATCCCTTAGTTATTTCCTGATCCAGTGTTTAACCCCAGGAGGCTACTTGCGCATTACTCTACAGAGGAATCTGTTCATTCAAGTTGGAGATGTGAAATAGTTCAGAAAAGGATTAAGAGATAGCAAAAGTGTGCATATCTGATTTCTTATTGCTCTCATTTTTCTTCTTCATCAATATAGTTTTATTGATGCTGGCATAAGCCCTATAAAATCTTCATTAGCTGATGATCTAGAAGAACAAGATGCTTAACTTTGAGTGAATGATTTTGAGAAAATCTCATTACCTTTAGAACGGCAAAGATAATATTTTTTTTTGAGAGATGGTTAACATCTGCAAAGATAATATTCATTTGATGCAGTGCAAGATAGTGAGTTATCCGCTATACTTTGGGGGGTATAATGAAGAACATGTTATCATTGGAGACTTAATGTTGTAGTCGTCATTTCTGTGAATGATGCTCCGCAACATTATTCATAATATTTTCCTTGGGCAATGGTCCCTTTCCTTAATAAAAAGAATTCTTTAGAGCATGTTCAATAATCAAACTACTTTGTTCTCTCTAATGCTTTCTTTCTTTTTTTTGTGATACACCAGAATGTGTACTATCACAATCAGTAAAATCTTTGGAGTTTGCCAATTCCATTTTCCTGGATGTTTCTTTGTGCTTTGGTTCAAGATCAACCTATCTGTTTTTGCGAGTATTTGCAACAAAGTAAAATAGCTTTTATTTGAAGGTTGCTCCTGCAGTAACTTCACTCTATTTCAAAAATATGCGTTTTCATTTTTTGGCCATACTTGTGCATTTGCTTTTTTTTTTTTGGATAGTTCACACAGACATCAATAACGGTGTCCACAGTGCCTATTTTCATAAGTATATGACAACCTTTTGCAGTGCTGCTCCTGGTGGTAAAACAACTTATATTGCAGCTCTCATGAAGAATACTGGTATATACTCCTTCCTGTTGTATGTGATTCATTGTTATCCCAGTGATATGTGAAGATTTGTTATACTATTCAAGCTCTTTCCTTTTCACATTCCCATTTACCACTTTGAGGTACCATGGTGTTCATTGATACATATAGTCCATAAATATGAGTTTTTTTAAAGTGGAGGACTAATTGCATTGCTGGTTACTGCGTTACCATGACCAAAAGATCTATCTGGCCCATTAGAGTAAGGGAATATGCCAATAGTTGAGCATTGGCTTTAAAGGCTGTCGATATGCCACATTGAAAGCAGGCGGGTTGATAGAACTGAGAACTCTTCCGTGAGTAGCTCTTTAGAGCTCTCAAGGTGTGAGCCGTGAGTTCTCACTGTGGTTCCGAGTTCTGAGTTGAGCTGTTGCATCGCTATATGAGTTTTTTTTTTTGCCCTTTTTATTCTTGATGAGTTAATTTTATTATGTTTATTGTTGGTGAATACTTTTTTACTCTGTGCAATTCCCCTGGTTCTTTCTTTTTCTTCTCTTTGCTTTTTTGGGTGAGGGGCAGGGGTTTTAGGAAGGATTGATTTGGGTGACAAATTAAATTTTCTTTCTGAAAATTTAAAAGTATTGTTCATAAATATTTCACAGTGGCAAATGACAGAGTGAACTGCATGATATTGTTAGAAGATAGTTCTAAAATGAGCCAAGCGTCCACATTCTCAAGATTAGTCAAAGGGTTCTTGAAATTAGGTTGACTAGTTGGCTTCATTGAGAAAGAGAATACTTGCCTTTGCCACATCAAGCCTCTGTATTTTCATGTGGCTTGCATGAAAACACTAAACCTTTGCCTGCTACAACTTTGACTTTCCCCAAGATTGCCTTAAGAACGCCACCATGTTAAGATTGGTTTGGCATGTCAGTTAAAAAATTTAAAAGATTTGAGTTAGCGTCATGGGTTTCTTTTAGAAATGCCCATTTTTCCAATCTAATTAATACTTGAATCCATACCGAATTCTGGATTTAATAGGATTTAGTTTGCAAAGTTATTACTTATCCATGTTTCTTTTCATTTTTCTCTGTTTCATGCTTGCTTTTCTTTTGCAGGCATTATTTATGCAAATGAGATGAAGGTTCCCAGGCTTAAATCATTGTCTGCAAATTTACATCGTATGGGAGTGACTAATACCATAGTTTGTAACTATGATGGCAAGGAGGTCAGTTCTTTTGTTTGGGTTTATTTGGTGTATTGGGAATTCAGTTGCTTTACTTAGTGAGAAACTATACTATAATTCAGGGTTTGAAAAATCAGAAGTTGGGCTCAGTTCAGCCTGCATAAGGTTACCCTAAAGACTCGGCATATGCCTGTCTGTGGGGATGTGAGGTGTATACACACACACACACATAGGATTATGTTAGGGTACTCTTCCACATGGAGTATTTCCTTAAAGTGCTCAACATTTTTGGGCACTCATTACCCTTACCCCACAATGTATGAACTTTTTGTTTATCTGTATTTTAGGTAATTTTTCAAGGGTAAAGGTGAAATTCTTGATAGAAAGGAAAACATTTATTAACTATATTAGAGAATGACATCATCTACATGAGGTGTGGCATTACCCATATGGAGTATTAAATGTTTTTTAACCATTCGTAGAATCCCACTAGTGTCTTATGGAAATATTTACTCTACCCCTTCTAGTGACGAAAAATACCCTTGCTCAAAATTTTTTGTATTATAAATATAATGAAAGGGTAATTGAGCGTCTAAAAATGTTGAGGACATTAAAGAAATACTCCATGTGTAACTTCGGCACCGTCCGACTTTTTCGGACGGCGTGGATTAAAAGACCGCAACGGACCTACTATGTCCATTACGGTACCACAAGGGACTGCGGTACTTTTTCACGTAAACATAGTAAGTCCGTTGCGGTGTTTTTTCACACAAAAAAACACGGACACCACTACGAATCCCGTAGATCCGTGGCGATTTTTAAGGCAAAACCGCCACGGACCGTAGCGGGGCGAAACACTATTTAATTTCGCCTATA